GGGGGGGGGTGTGGGGGGGGGTGTGTGGGAGGGGGGGGCGGTGTGTGGGAGGGGGGGGGGTGGGGTGGTTTTAGTTTAGACTTTTTCCTCCCCGGAGAGGGGTGGGGGTACTTGAAATTTTCGGTGGCGGGGGTAGAATTTTCGGGAAGGGGGGCGGACACTGGAAAAAGTATATAATTAAATTTCGTTGAATGGGACGGTAGACATGTTTTTTTTAGGGGGGGGGGGGGTGGGGGGTGGGGGGGGGGGGGGGGGTGGTGTGTGTGTGGGGGGGTGGGGGGTGGTGTGTGTGGGGGGGGGGTGGGGTGGTTTTAGTTTAGACTTTTTCCTCCCCGGAGAGGGGTGGGGGGTACTTGAAATTTTCGGTGGCGGGGGTAGAATTTTCGGGGAGGGGGCGGACACTGGAAAAAGTTTATAATTATATTTCGTTGAATGGGACGGTAGACATGTTTTTTTAGGGGGGGGGGTGGGGGGTGGGGGGGGGTGTGTTTGGGGGGGGGGGGGGTGGGGTGGGTGGGGGTGTGTGGGGGGTGGGGGTGGGAGGGGGTGGGGGATGGTGGGGGGGGTTGGTTTTAGTTTAGAGAAAAGAGACAGCACCATCAGCCTAGCGCCCGTTGTATCCTTCCTCAACGGGCCATTTTTCTAGTTGAAAATAATAGTTTCGCTGTCTGTCTATCTGACAAGAACGCTCTGTCTGACAAGAACGCTCTGTCTGACAAGAACGCTCTAGAGAAAACACAAGCAAAATAAAAACATGCACAGTAATTCGAAAAACGAAATATGACGTCGACACATTTAGCGTAGAGTAGAACATAATCTCAAACCAGAGAGTGCACACAGTAATATGACGTCATTGATTATCGCGTAAACATTGAAAAAAAGGAAATGTTGTCTAATCTAAATGGTTTGCGTGAAGAGTTTCTTGCATACAATTCTTCGGGTAGGGGCGAAGCCCCACCCCCCCGCGTAAGAACGTCTGAGCCCCCCCCCCCCTCCCCAACTCAAAAGAAATTTCCTCATCGATACTCTATAATAAAATTACAGCCTAATTAATGTGTCTAATCTAAAAAGTGGTTTTCTTGCAATGGGAAGGTAGACATGTTTTTTTTTTTTGGGGGGTTGGGGGGGGGTGGAGGGGTGGGGGGGGGGTGGTGTGTAGGGGTGGGGAGGGGGGTGGGGGGGTGGGTTGGTTTCAGTGTTTCTTTCAGACTTTTTCCTCCCCGGAGAGGGGTGGGGGTACTTGAAATTTTCGGGGGCGGGGGTAGAATTTTCTGGGAGGGGGCGGACACTGGAAAAAGTATATAATTATATTTCGTTGAATGGAACGGTAGACATGTTTTTTTTGGGGGGGTGGGGGGTGGTGGAGGGGTGGGGGGGGGTGGTGTGTGGGGTGGGGGGGGGATGGGGGGTGGTGTGTGGGGGGGTGGTGTGTGGGGGGGTGGGTTGGTTTCAGTGTTTCTTTCAGACTTTTTCCTCCCCGGAGAGGGGTGGGGGTACTTGAAATTTTCGGGGGCGGGGGTAGAATTTTCTGGGAGGGGGCGGACACTGGAAAAAGTATATAATTATATTTCGTTGAATGGGACGGTAGACATGTTTTTTTTTGGGGGGGGTGGGGGGTGGGGGGGGCGGTGTGTGGAGGGGGTGGTGTGTGGGGGTGAGGGGTGGGGGTGGTGTGTGGTGGGGGTGGGGGTGGGGGTGGTGTGTGGGGGTGGGGTGGGGGTGGTGTGTGGGGGGTGGGTTGGTTTTAGTTTAGAGAAAAGAGACAGCACTATCAGCCTAGCGCCCGTTGTACCCTTCCTCAACGGGCCATTTTTCTCGTATATATATATATATATATATATATATATATATATATATATATATATATATATATATATATATATATATATATATATATATATGCGCAGCTCCCAACTAAATTGAGTGAATGTGCTGTGCACGGTACATACAATGCTACGTCACACTTCTCCCGGATTTTAGCCTGAACGCCGTTATACTTGCCGCTCATATTGGACGCGTTGTCATATGATTGACCGCGACAATTTTTTATGTCAATTCTATTTTCTTCCAAAAATGTTAGTATTAAATTAGCTATTTCCGAACCAGTGTGTGAAAACATTGGTACAAATTTTAAGAAGCGCTCAATAGGTCCGGTGTCTTATACATAGCGAATAACGATTGTGAGTTGATCAACATGTGAAACATCTGGAGTCGAATCTACAGATATAGAAAAATATTTCGCTGTCTTTATTTCATCTACAATTACTGACAAAAGTTCAATCATCTCCCCCATATTGTTGAAGATATGTAGGATGTATGTCCACGTCCTTTGTTGGCGTGTATCCGCATATGTTCTGCGAGAAAGGTATCGTACTGACTTAACAGCTCCAGCAACCCGAGATAATTCCCATTGTTTGGAGAACCAACCTCTTCAGTTCTGCCCCGAAACGGAAAACCACGAATACAAAGAAACTTATCACACTAACGATTCTGTGAAGTACTTGTCTCCAGTACTGAATTTCACTTTCATATTGCGTTACAAGTTTCATGTCAATCTGACCAGTAGATTTTCGTGAACACAGCGCTGCCAATGAATCAATATGTTGTTTTGAATTTTCATGCCTAGATAGCACTTCATGGGCACGTTTCCATTGTTTGAACCCTGCTGACATTTTGTTAGTTACAGGTGACATCAGCTTACATACAAAACAATAAACACACCCGCTTGTTTTGGAATAGCACAACCAATTTCTTTCAAATGTTTCTCCTGTTCGTGCATGGACACGTGTGAATAAAGAAATGGTGCAGAACCGACGTTATGACTCTCTTTCTAACTGTATGACCGATTCTTTATAGTTCCCGTTTTTTTTTTTTTGACGTGGTGTTGTACCACGTTGAATCCAATAGTTTCTAAATGCCTCTGACATCTTTTCCCGCTCTGGCCAAAAATGAAGGTCGTATATAGCATGACTATCTTCAAGGGGTTTTGCTGTATCATCTTTCAAATCACGTTTTTTAAAAGTAGGCGCCTGCTCTACATCTTTTACCCCGGCGGTGTCTGATTCAATTGAAGATCCCTTTTCTACATGACTATTTTCCTTGGTACTCGAAGTTGGTTTGAAAAAGGAGAGCAGTTTTGTAGTTTTTTCAGCAAGCTCAGCTTCGATCTTTCTTTTGGGGGGTGGTTATGCCAAGCTCAACAAAAGAGGTTCCAGTTTCCATTACCCTAACGGGTCGGACAGAGTTCACAGTTTAATTAAATTGGAAAAATACTTAAAGGTCAAAGTTCACCATTGTTTATTGTTACAACTGAGGCCACGGTTGATGTTAGGCCTAGTGAGTTACCCCCCCCCCCCCTCCCCATCTGAACTTGAACAATGCTGTATTTTATAGGAAGACATTAGTGTCGCACCTAGTTGTTATGTGCAGGGAAGAGAACTACGGTCGCCTGGAGATTGTTTTACCTGAGGTGGATGGCGATGGGTCGATTAAGTGAGCCCCCCCCCTCCCTCCGCCTCCACCCCCTTGTACCTGGTATGTAAATTTGGAAAAAAAAACGTAATGTGATATCCTATTGTATTCTGACCAATGTAGATGTTTTTTTTTTATATTTTTTAATTTTTTTTTATGCCTGTACTAGTTACAATTAGGTGGTAAATTTGGGGGCCCCTAAAAAGCGGGGCCCCTAGCTGCAGCCCTTTCAGCACCCCCCTTAATCCACCACTGTTTCCCCCCCCCCCCCCCCCCACCCCACCCCCCCCCCCCCCCCCGGAGAAAAAAGTCTGGAAGAAACACTGGTTGAAAATAAATAGAAATGTAGCCTTAATAAACTCAAAACATTATTTTCAAGTTCCGTGGATTTGCACCTTTTATAACATTGATTCTAAAAGGATAATATTTCTGAATTATTTTTGCGCTTAAGTTTTTTTACTTTCTCGTATATACGAAGTATAGAGAAAGTCTTGTAATCGTGCAAAAAAAAAATAGAGATTTTACATCTCACTGATACGGAAAAACATAATTTTGCATTCTTGTCCGTATGTCTGTGTGTCTGTGTGTGTCTGTGTGTAAACACGATTACTTGAGTACCGTTACAGCTAGGTTAATGAAATTTCATAAATAAGTATTTTATCAAAATCGTAGATCGTGATAAACTTTTAAGCAATTTCCGATAACCGGAAGTGGTACTTTTTCTACTTTGAATTTTTCAGAAGCCTAATACTTGAGTACTATTTCAGATAGATAAATGAAATTTCACAAGTAACTTAAACATCGAATTCTCTACCTTCTATTATATTTTGTGTAATTTCCGTTGACCAGAAGTACTAATTTACGCTATTTCCGATTCCCCAAAAAACGCATGTAAATTTATAAAGTACTAATAATATTGCGCACTATTATGCACATCTTTATTTAGCGTTCACTTGGTGTGCATTTCTTTTTTCTACGAGATTATATTCTATTTTAAAAAATTTGAGTAATTAAAATGGATTAAAAATCATGTCTAGAAGTCTATATCCCGAGTTGCCATCCCCCGTAGTGTTATATTAGAATATTCGAGAAAGTTTAGGGGAGATCACTCCCGGTTTATTTTAAGACAAAATAAAAAAATATCCATGTGAACAGACTTCACACGTCATATGGCTCAAGAGTACGATTCTGTGCACTGCTGTGTATGCAATAAATAAGCTGATCCAGATTAGCAAACAGCGGCGTAGGTTTTGTTGTCTCTCTGGGTCAGCCAGTAAACTCACACCTGAGAGGGTGATCATTACACCATACCTCCACTGAGGTAGTGTTACACTAGTCATTGTAATAGTAGACATTCTATGTTCTATCCCAAAGGAAACTGGTGTATGTGTACAGCTTGTCCGTGTCAATAATTTTACCTGAAACTGTGTGCTAGTCCAGCATTTAATCTGAATAAAACAAGGGTTGGTAATCAATTTTATCTTGGCATAGATTCCTCGACAAACATTAAAAAACAAAAACACAAAAGCTAATGGTTTCTTGTTTTATTAAAAATAAACTGTATATTATACAAAATTTTAAAAGTAAATGAAAGTAGATAATCTGCTAGTTGACACTGTACATGGAATGTTAAACTTTATACAGGGAGGCACAAGGGCAACTAAGGTTGTTAACTCTCGAATGAAACCTGCAATCTACATTATAGGAGTTATCCCCCTTAAAGCCTGTTGCACTTCACAAAACAGGTTAGACAAATTGGAAAGTCTTGAGATTTTTTACATCTGCTGCATACACCATTCATGTAGATTTGGACATTTTAATCAACCATAATTAGACCCATGATATTAATTAACCAAATTTCAAGTAAACTTATGAGTTGCGCATACATGATTTAACAAGTTTAAAAATATTTACAAAAATAAAAATCAAAGATGCCAACAGTAGCTGAATTAGCTGGAGTTATGAATGAAATATATACATAAATATTTTCAATTATGCACATGAGATAACTGACAACAAATTGCCATTCACAGGTGAAGATTTAGTTATTCAACACAGTGAAGCACATAATTCATACAGGCACAAAAATGTGTTTGTTGTGTTGCTCAATGATCTACTCACAGGCTGATACACCACACAGCTTTGTACAAGAGTAGCTCTCACCTATTCAAACAGTTACAGCTACTAAAATGCTACAAGACTAAAAATTCTTTACACGTTTGTTCACAGTTTTAAAATTGTGGAGAAAAATTCATGGCATAAAAGCAAGGAGAAGATAAGTCCATTTTTTATGTCCATTGTACTTTAAAAAATTTAAGAGTAATTAGTTCCTCAACAGGACAAAAATGTGAGTATATTTTTCTTTTAAAAACTGAGTAAAATTTTAAAAATAATAATGTAAAATTTAATTCAGATCTTTTGCTGATGTGGTAGGATAAAAAAAATGTTAAAAATTTATTTTTTCCAGATGTCACAGTTTTGAAAAGATACATGCCTATGTTCTGTTAAGTTTCAAACAAAAGTTGACGACGATGGTTTAGCAGTGCTGCCAGATTTGCTGGAGGCCACGCTTGGCTCGTATCTGTCATCGTATCTATCATCTCTTGGGTCACGTCTGTCATAACGGTCTTCATAATCATCATCATGGCGGTCATAATCATCATCCCTGGGCCTGTAGCGGTCATCATGATAGTCATCCTGGGAGTGGTTGCTGCGGTCATACAACTCCCTGGGTTTGCCGTTGCGATCAAATTTGTTAGGCTCCCCAGATTCAAATTCAGGATCATACGAGTCAGATGGGTGGCGGTTGTAGTCTTCATACTCCTTCTCTGCGGGCCTGTAGTCCCTGTCTCTGTCATAATCCCTGTCCTGATCGTAATCCCTGTCCTGATCGTAATCCCTATCATAGTCCCGTTCATAATTCTTTTCTTCACTGGTGTAGCTTGGGGGTTTCTTTTCAAAACCTCCATCATCCTCATAGTTGTGGTAGCTGAAAAATATTGTTAGTCAACATGGTGTTTATATTTTAACTTCAAGATTATTCTAGTGGTGTACAGTTAATAGGGGGTATAACTGTTGCTTTAGTGAGAATCTCTAAATTATACCAGATGTTAATTACTTAGAACTCTACTTTGTTTAAATTTAAATGCTGTTGAAAATTAATTTCTAAAAGTGAAAACCTTAAAAAAGAAACTGTTTAAAATTTAAATAAAAGCAGGTTTGATAGACCAAATGTTTTTGTAGGAGTAACTTACTCTTTATCATCATAATAATCATTGTTATAGCCCTTTGGTTCTGGCCCGAACTGCTCATTTCCTCTGGCAACATAGGTGGTATCTGTAAAATAGTTTGAAGTAAAGACCAATACATCATACGTATACTTCATACGTTCTGGGTCTGTAAGTACATCATATGTTCTGGGTCTAATGGTACCCACTTCAATTATCACAAACTAGTGTTTGGCAACATAACAGCTGGGTCATGGATTAACCCTCCCAAATTAGCTCACTCCTGTTAACAGGAGACTAAATAAAAAAATAATAATTGTTACCCATTTTTTTCTTATTGCTGACAGTTTATAGAAGTAAAAATATAAATTTTTAAGAAATAAAAATGACAACAAGAAATTAAAGATTACAACAAACTGTGGTTAATAGTTAAAAACTTGTGGTTAAAAACTTGTAACAAATCTAAAACGATTAAATTATGAAAATAGAATATTTTTCCTTGGGTTATTTATTTAACATATTTGTTTTTTTTTTTAGACGTAACAGTTTTATGATGGTTATAATTTGAGTTATTTTAAGAGTTAAAAATTAAAGGTCAACAAAAATATTGATATATTTATTAATATTTATAGATAGCAGAAAAGCTATACATTTATTTAATCATAAGGATGTATATGTAAAAAAAATGAATTAGGGCCTACACCTTTTCAAGAGTATATTTCAAATGAAACAAATAACCACTGAGTGTATTGAGCTGAGGCTGAGAAGCTAACCAGACATACAAGAGCTTTTAGCAAACAACGGACAGGTACCTTTTTTTTTCCCAACGTCAGCTAAACATTAAATTATTACAAGTTGTAAAATTGTATTCAAACCTTAGACCAGCTAGATATTAAATTATTACAAGTTGTAAAATTGTATTCAAACCTTAGACCAGCTAAACATTAAATTATTACAAGTTGTAAAATTGTATTCAAACCTTAGACCAGCTAGATATTAAATTACTACAAATTTTAAATTTTTTTTATAAAACCTCAGACTAACAAATAAGATGCCCTCTGTTTTAAGAAACTGTGTCTATTTAAACTATTAACATGATGCAACTAGATTTTAATGAGGTACTTTGTGAGTGATAATATTACTATACTAATTAATGAGTTTATAATTGTGTCAACTATGAATATTAATGAGTTTATAACAGTGTCATCTAAAATATTAATAAGTGCCAGATATTAAAGCAGAATAAATGAACATGACTAATGACCTGATGTTCTGTATAAAACTATGGCTATCTACACCAATGTTTTCTAACCATCAATCACTCTCCAAATTCTTGGGTTAAAAATGATAAAAGTAGCGTTCTACTACAGGGATATAATTTACCATCTAAATTTAATGGGGTTTAATGTGAAATCTTTTTAAATGGATATAAATATTTCTTTTATCTTTGAACAAACCATATTTCTCATAAATCATATTTTCTCGTAAGACATTTTTTTTTGTAAATGAAGTGGGTGGCCACCATAAAAATAAGTAGAACACTACAGTTGTCAGATGCATGTTAATTTTTGTATTAAAATCTAATTAATGATCAAAGAAAGAGATTTGCTGAAAACAGCTAGAAAATCAACTTTTTAGAGGGACAAGTTCAAAAGTTTAATCATTATTTAAACTGCCCTTGTTTAAGCAGTTGGTACATAGTCATTTGTAGGTTTGGATTTGTTTTTTTCTTGTTAAATTTCAACAAATCTTTAAAAACAATGTTAAATGTCTACTTCTTTAACAAAAATTATTCAAAATTATTTGAATTAGAATTAAGTTAAAATCCTCAATACGTTAAAATCCTCTCCAATGAGATCCTAGCTGTCTCAATGTAGAAAAGCCAAGAAGGGATTAGAGTAAAGATAGTGTTACACTTTGACAATAGCTTACTATCATAAGTACCAGAGTAAGGCTGGGCTCCGGCCGTGCCGTAGTAGCTGTCGTCTTTCTGCGAGAACCTGAACCCTCGCTTGTGACACAGGATGAAGAGGATGATCAGGCCTATGGCCAGCAGCAGGGCAAGAATCATGCCAATAAACCACCCGATATTGCCAGCCAATGAAAACGCAACCGCTGTAACCAGAAATTTTAATCACAATTATAAAAAAAATTTTATTATGGCAAATTAGTAACCAGAAATTTTTTTTTAAATTAGGAAATTATGGCAAATAAGTTTTATTTCTCACCAATGCCTTCCGTTCTAACTTCTTCAATGCCTGATGCTACACTGGAGTTGCCATTGGTGGCTTTGATTCTAACTTCATAGGTCGTGCCAGGCTCAAGGTTGCTGATGTTCTTCCAGGTATTGATGACCTCATCAGTTGACCTGAACCACTCAGGGCCATCTGCAGCCATCAAACAATTTACATTTGTAAATACAATCATTATAATTACAGGTTATAAAATATGTTTCTAAAATAGCAATTGTGAGGATTATTTATTCCACAACTAAATATTTCACAAAACATTCAATTAAATTGTAATAAAACCATCAGTTTAAAACTGCTGAAACTGTTGTGTAGTATTTACCTAACTTCCTCCACTCCACAAAGACAACTGTGCCTGAGGCAGCGTAAGCATTGATCCACCAGGTCACGTTGATGTAATGGGACCCAATGTTTGCTATAGAAAACCTGGGCATTCTGGGAGCTGGAATATAATTTATTTCAACAGTATGTTCTCAAAATAATGAAGCTAGTAATAAAAAACATAAGGTGATGATGAAATGTGTGCTTACTTCAGGGTGTGCTGGTGAAGTTATGTGAGCTGGTCAAGTTATGTGTGCTGGTCAAGTTATGTGAGCTGGTCAAGTTATGTGTGCTGGTCAAGTTATGTGTGCTGGTCAAGTTATGTGTGCTGGTCAAGTTATGTGTGCTGGTCAAGTTATGTGTGCTGGTCAAGTTATGTGTGCTGGTCAAGTTATGTGTGCTGGTCAAGTTATGTGTGCTGGTCAAGTTATGTGTGCTGGTCAAGTTATGTGTGCTGGTCAAGTTATGTGTGCTGGTCAAGTTATGTGTGCTGGTCAAGTTATGTGAGCTGGTCAAGTTATGTGTGCTGGTCAAGTTATGTGTGCTGGTCAAGTTATGTGTGCTGGTCAAGTTATGTGTGCTGGTCAAGTTATGTGTGCTGGTCAAGTTATGTGTGCTGGTCAAGTTATGTGTGCTGGTCAAGTTATGTGTGCTGGTCAAGTTATGTGTGCTGGTCAAGTTATGTGTGCTGGTCAAGTTATATGTGCTTACTTCAGGGTGTGCTGAAGTTATGTGTGCTTACTTCAGGGTGTGCTAGTGAAGTTATGTGAACATGCTTGTACTTACTCCCTGGGGGTAGAGTGTAAATCTCAATGAAGTACTCGTCACCCCGCCCCTTGGCTGTCCTGGCGTAGATGTAGACTCTGTATTTAGAGTTGGGCATCAGGCCACTCAGGTAGGCGTTGGTGGCGTAGGGGTCGTTGATCTGGGGCTCTCTCTCCTGCATGTCTCCCAGACGTAGGCCATTGACTGGTGGAGAGATAGACACAAGGTCATTAACTTTAGACCATTGACTGGTGGAGAGATAGACATAAGTTCATGAACTTTAGACCAATAACTGGAGTTACATCATTAACTCATCCCTTCTTATGCTAAAGTCATAGAAACAGATGAGCTCTACTTCACTTGCCCCATGGATTGTCAGGTTTGAAAAGGAAACTGCTTTTTACAGGCTTTGCAATTGTTAAAGAACTTATACCTGCCTATGAAAGTATTACAAAGACTTTATACCTGCCTATGCAAGAATTACTAAGACTTTATACCTGCCTATGAGACCAACACACATAGATAACACAAACCTAAACGATAGCTGATGTCATAGCCCTCCAGATCACCCCTGTTTTCAAATGGACTGCCCCATTCTAAGTTGACGTGGGTGTCTCCATCGTTAATGACTCGGAAATATTCCACTGGACCGGGAACTAGAGAAGATGATAAGAATTTTAATCTGGTAATCTCAATAAAGTTACAGGTAAGAAAATAGAACCATTCTTACATTCCAGGTAAAGTTTCAGGTAAGAAAATAGAACTATTCAGGTAAGAAAATAGAACTTATATTCCAGGTAAAGTTACAGATAGAAAAAAAACCCATTCTTACATCCAGCTAAAGTCTTGAACCTGATACTCTCTGTGGGCGGACCAATGAAATAATTGTTCATGACGGAGATCTGGGCCTCCATGTTGGTGTTGGGCAGCATGGAGTCTACGCTGGCGGAGAAAGTGTTGCCAGTTGTGTTTTGGGCTGATTCCGGCCCAATGTTGAACTCTCTCACTGTCAGGGCTCGTAGGTCACGCTCCCAGAACTGGATCTGGGGGACGGAAGGTTGAAATATTAGGAGGTAGTTTGAAATGGGAGGAAGGTTGAAACATTAGGAGGTAGTTTGAAATGGGAGGAAAGTTAATACATTAGGGGGTAGTTTGAAATGGGAGGATGGTTGAAATATTTTAGGGGGTAGTTTGAAATGGGAGGAAGGTTGAAATATTAGGGGGTAGTTTGAAATGGGAGGATGGTTGAAACATTAGGGGGTAGTTTGAAATGGGAGGATGGTTGAAATATTTTAGGGGGTAGTTTGAAATGGGAGGAAGGTTGAAACATAAGGTTGTTTGAAATAGTTTTTATACTAAAAACATTCTAAAAAGTTGAAATATTAGTATAAACTATAAAATTTATAGTTGATTAAAAATATTTAAGCAGGAATCTTTAAGTTAGTATTAATCATGATCACTGAACTGGGGTTAATTAGCTCCACCCATTGCTGATATTACACCAGGATGAGAACTACTACAATGTTTACAATTTTTTTTTCAATGGTTTGGTCATTTTAATTCCAGCATCAATTACAATAACTTATTGCAAAATTAAGCACAAAGTTTACAAAAGTTGAAATTTGAAACAATCTGGCCACAAGTCAGCTAATGTGTACAGGCAGTTGTACACTTTGTTGGGTGTATGTCTCCATTCTTGTACAGGCTGTGTTAAAGTTAGTTGTGTGCAAAGCTCTAGTATCTCACCTTGAAACCTTTGAACTCTCCTTGAATCCTTGACCTGAGTTTTCCAATTTCAGACTTGTCAAAGTCCCACGAGAAGACCACATAAGTGTCTTGTACATCAACAACAGCAAAATTGGTTGGTGTTATAGTAGGGGCTGGGGACAAGCACACATTTTAAAATTAGTTCCAGAAAAAAATCTCTAAACAATGAATGTGTCCTTAAACAGCCATTGGCCTACAGTAAAAAGGAAAATATGAACAAATTAAAAAAAACCTACACACAAACAGATCAATGACAAACAGAACAATGACGAACAGCTCTGTACTTACTGGATTCATACGAGTACCCAACTATAGTTGGAGGGTCTGCTGCAGCCTCTCCTACACTGTTTATAGCCTTCAGAGTTATCCTGTACGGCTCGTACACCATGCTAGCCGACATTTCGTAGTACCGCGTGGTCCAGTCATTTATAGGGATATTTTGTATATTGGTTTCAGCCTGCGTTCCTAAACGCAGGATTTGTAGGATATAGTAGAATCCCGGACCATTCTGCATTATTTGTGGGACAGGCTGGAATGGAGTAAAAAAAATTATTTAAATGACCCAGTACTTTAAATTTTGTGATTGACTGGCACATGCATTTCTTTAAAAGTGAAGATGTGATGGAAGTGAAGCTAGAGCCCAACTTACAGTCCACTCTATATAGAGCTTGCCATACTGATGACCCAGGGTGCGCAGATTTTGTGGATGAGCGTAGGGTCGCTCTGGTTTTGTGGTGCAGATCTTCGGGGTAGGAAAACTTGGGTCGCTGGGTCCAATCTTGTTGTAGGCAATGATGCGGAACGTGTAGTTGACGTGAGGTGACAAGGTCATGTTCACTTTACTCAGCGATGCATTCAACTGTGACCAGGAACAAAATAATGTAATTAATGATTTGTACTTAAGCATTTGATTAATTAACAGTTTCTGAAACGATAACATGTTTTGTGACTGAAATGTTGCTAAGAAAATAAGTTGATACACATCTACATCATAATTTGTCATTTTAAATATGGCAAAAAACAGTTTGCTGTAAGAATACACTTTGTTGCCATCTTTCTAAACCAGGTGACCTGTTAACCAGGTGACCTGTTAACCAGGTGAATAGAAAGTTTACCTTGAGGGCGAATGTCCACTGGTCAGGGTTAAAGGTCGTATTGTACTGTAGAACGTAGTACTGTATGGGGGCATTGTTGAAACTTCCTGGCATCCAGTGGATGGTGGCATTCTTGTTGCAGAACTCCCAGTACACATTAGTGGGTGCATCTGGGCGAGCTGGGGGGTAGGGTAATAGGTGGTTTTATGGACATTCTACAGGGGGTGGGGTAATGGGTGGTTTTATGGACATTCTACAGGGGGTGGGGGTAGGGTAATGGGTGGTTTTATAGACATTCTACAGGGGGTGGGGGGTAGGGTAATGGGTGGTTTTATCAACATTCTACAGGGGGTAGGGTAATGGGTGGTTTTATGGACTTTCTACAGGGGGTGGGGGGTAGGGTAATGGGTGGTTTTATGGACATTGTACAGGGGGTGGGGGGTAGGGTAATGGGTGGTTTTATCAACATTCTACAGGGGGTAGGGTAATGGGTGGTTTTATGGACATTCTACAGGTGGGGGGGGGGTAGGGTAATGGGTGGTTTTATCAACATTCTACAGGGGGTAGGGTAATGGGTGGTTTTATGGACATTCTACAGGGGGTAGGGTAAATGGTGGTTTTATGGACATTCTACAGGGGGTAGGGTAATGGGTGGTTTTATCCACATTCTACAGGGGTGGGGGGTAGGGTAAAGGGTGGTTTTATGGACATTCTACTGGGGGGTAGGGTAATGGGTGGTTTTATGGACATTCTACAGGGGGTAGGGTAATGGGTGGTTTTATCAACATTCTACAGGGGTGGGGGTAGGGTAATGGGTGGTTTTATGGACATTCTACAGGGGGTAGGGTAATGGGTGGTTTTATGGACATTCTACAGGGGGTAGGGTAATGGGTGGTTTTATGGACATTCTACAGGGGGTAGGGTAAAGGGTGGTTTTATGGACATTCTACAGGTGGGGGGGGGGGGGGGTAGGGTAAAGGGTGGTTTTATGGACATTCTACAGGGGGTGGGGGGTAGGGTAATGGGTGGTTTTATGGACATTCTACAGGTGGGGGGGGGTAGGGTAAAGGGTGGTTTTATGGACATTCTACAGGGGGTGGGGGGGTAGGGTAATGGGTGGTTTTATGAACATTCTACAGGGGGTAGGGTAAAGGGTGGTTTTATGGACATTCTACAGGGGGTAGGGTAATGGGTGGTTTTATGGACATTCTACAGGGGGTAGGGTAATGGGTGGTTTTATAAACATTCTACAGGTGGGGGGGGGGGGGGTAGGGTAAAGGGTGGTTTTATGGACATTCTACAGGGGGTGGGGTGGGGTAATGGGTGGTTTTATGGACATTCTACAGGGGGTGGGGTGGGGTAATGGGTGGTTTTATGGACATTCTACAGGGGTGGGGGTAGGGTAAAGGGTGGTTTTATGGACTAAATTTTACAGAGCGGGGTGATCTTACACACTGCTTAACTATTACGTTTTATTTAATTTAAATTTTCTAAATATTTAAGTCTTAAAATAAATCTTAAGTAAAATAAAAAGATATCAAGAATGAAAACCATTAATATCTTAAGAGCAACAAACTAGAACAATTGAAGATAACCACTAAAGTAAAGATGATCAAACTGAGACCATTAGAAATGAATGTAATGAAAAGAGCTACAAACCTTTGACAGTGAGCACGGCCGAGGCTGTGGAGTTGTCCAAGCCATTGGTGGCTATACACGTGTAGGTCCCTGAGTCTCTCATGATGGTCCCACTGATGGTCAGTGAGTTGTCCTGTCTGTTGGTGGTCATCCTCTGGTCATTGGCTGTGATTGGCTTGCCATCTTTCAGCCAGAGAATCCTCAGATTCTGAACTTCCTCGGGATCTGTCGTGCCAGAGCATGTGAACTTGGCATCTTTCCCGGCTATTGTTTCAAGGTCGTAAGGAATCTGCTCAATAACAGTTTTACGTCGGACGATCAGCTGACCGCCAGCACTGGTCACATTGAACCTGTTTTTGGCCTCACAAAGGTAATCTGCCGCATCAGCTAGTACAACAGACTGAAAATAATTTGAAAGAATGGCTTACAGCATGTAAAATAATTGTATTTTTCAAATGGTGCAAAAGCTGACCTAAAGATTTAGGTACTTGGGTTAGCAGCTTGTACCTGTAGGATGGACTCTACTGGACCATAACAATCAAACACCTGTCAGATTTACCTTAATGCTCAGGTCCCCATTGGAAAGGATCCTGTAGCGTCCACCTGTGATCTGCTCGCCATTCTTGTACCAGGTGATGATAGGGTCAGGCTTGCCTGTTGTCCTGCAGGTCAGGTTCACAGGCTGACCCTCTGCTGTCCGCTGGAGGGCGTCTGGTGATTCTATGATGGTGGGGGCCTCAGCTGTGGATGGTTATGTTTACATTGGTCACTGGGATAATTAACTGTCTAATGATGACCATGGACTACTGGGCCATTAATACTGCTAAAAGAATATCAAAACTAGACCCTGTTACATCAGATTTGAACCCAGACTCTGTGGGTTTACCCCCCCCCCCCCCCCCCCTACAACCCTAAAAAGTACTACTTTAAAATCTGGTGAGACCAAAACATCTTCCGTAACATTCTTAGGATATGCCAGTGACAGAAATAAATTAGGAGCTTACATAAAACATTGAGAAAGGCATCAGCCCAGACATATCCGTGGATGTTGGATGCGTTGCACTGAAACACCATGTGATCCGTCTCCTCAACTTTCTCAAAAAATATTTTGTCCTCTAGTGGACGCTTGAATCTGTTGCTGCTAACAATTCTAGGGTCGGTTACATCTGTCAACAAATACAAAAGTTAACTGTCAACAATTCTAGGGTCCGTTACATCTGTCAACAAAAGTTAACTGTCAACAATTCTAGGGTTCGTTACATCTGTCAACAAATACATACGTTAACTGTCAACAATTCTAAGGTCTGTTACGTCTGTCAACAAAAAAAGTTGTCTTTAGACAGCTGTGTATGTGTTCCCCTCACTTAACCCCCTTGTCTGTGTTTACCATAATGATTTGTCAGCATCAGCGTATCATTTAGGTCTGTAACACTATGTGAAGATGTAATCTACCTGTATATTAACTATCTCACATAATCTACCTGTACATTAATTAACTGTCCTACTAATGAGCCAACTTTACCTTTGAGCTGGATACCATTAACGAACCAATCAATGGACGGCTCAGGGTCTCCTCCTGCCTTACATGAGTACTCAACGTTGGCTCCCACACCCACCTCAAGGCTCTTTGGCTCTTGTAGAAAATACGGTCGCGCTACATGGAGAAAAACAAAAATGTAAAAAATAATGAATGTTTAATTTTCAACACTGAACAACAAAAGATGGAGAAAAACAATCAAAATCATACAAAAATGCTGAATGTTTAACTTTCCACACTGATCAAACAAAACCAAGAAAACAGCTTACATTTGACTGTAATTTTGAATGTCCTGATAAGCCTCTTGTCTGCTGCGTTGTTTGATGCCCAGCACTCGTATGACCCCTGGTCCTCAAACTGCAGGTCTGTGATCTCAAGCTCCTGGGCAAAACTTTTGATCTTGGCGCGGTCTGGCATGGATTTGTTCCCCGTCCTCTCCCAGTGGACCTCAGGAGTGGGGCTGAATAAATACAGGTAAAATGGACAGGTGAGATAACATTTAAACTAAAAAGATGGACACTCTATCAATATGTGAAACTTGGTTCTCCTGGGGTACCTGACATTCCCCGTATAACTAGTGTGGTAGTGCCGCAATGTGTTGGACCTTATCCCAAAAAAATAATTTTTTTATTTTTAAGTAGATAATGATTGTACAACATGGAGACATAAAATTAGACGCCGACATCAATTATAAACTTACTTTCCAGAAAATATACATTTTGTTGAAAATGTGTCCCCCCTTAGGCCAAAGCGGTCATCCTGATCTGACCACAGATAAGCCACAGGTACAAAATCTGAGGTAGCTGTTCAAAGAAAACATTGATAACACAATAAGCTTTACAAAATAAAAACAGTTTTATAGTAACATATTTCATTATGTAAGATGAAGACTTTATCTGAACTAATTGTCAACAATTTTACATGAATTTTAAATGCAATGAGAAATATTCCTTCTTGATGCCCAGAACTTTGGTATTATGAAATGAGCTGACCACTAGGTAGGACTTACTTCCTTGAGTGTTAACTCTGATGCCAGCACTCTGACTGTTCCGCCTCATGATGTTGTTGAGTGCAACACAAATGTAAGGATTGTTGTTTTGTCTGTCAGTTGCCAACACATTTGTAAACCTCAGACGGTCTAAAAAGAAAACATTTGTAAATCTAAATAATGCTTAGAGTACGTAGATTAACATAAATGATGATTGACGTGAGAGTATGTGCCACTATAACAGAAATGTGGATTCCTCTAGTGTGACAGAAATGTGGATGCCACCACCACTAGAGAAACTACTTACACTCCCTGTCCATGGAGACGCGGGCGTCGTAGTTGACAACATCCATGCCACCTGCTGGGTTCTTTATAGCCCAGAAGACACTAGGGGGTGGGACGCTCTCAGGTGGGACACAGTTCAAGGTCAACGGCTGACCAACCCTGGCATTGACTGTTGTCATGGCAGCAGAAGGAAAGTCTGCCAGCTTGGCCTGCCTGAGATTCACCTTGATGGTCGCAGTGATACCAAAATCATTCCTAGCAAAACACTGGTACATGCCCTCATCCTTGTCCTCTGGCATGTTAATGACCAGCGTCCCCGCATTCGGCAGCTGGACCACCCTGTCGTCCATACCGCTAGGATTGAACACGATCTCGTTTCTTTTCCAGTCATATCTAAATGTTAAATCAAAAAAAGATAGGTGTAATTGAAAAGTCTGACAAAAACAGTTGCTGTAACTTAGTTATCTGAGTTTCGTTCAGTCATCTCTCTGGGGTGAGGGAGGCCTGTCCTGGGGCAGATCCACCGCTTCCCTCACCAGAAAAAAAAATAAAATAAAAATGTATAGGCCTAGAGTTTATATAGAAAATATATAGGCATAGAGTTTATATAGAAAATATATGGGCCTTGAATTTACATTGAAAAAAATATAGGCTAGAATTTACATAGAAAAAATATACTTTAACATGTGTTTGCCCATTGTGAATTTTAAGTGCACCACCTCCTCCCCAATGAAGTTTCAACACCCCCCCCCCCCCCATCAGGCGAGGACACGTTCTACTTACGAGGGGTTGGGCTCTGCCCGCGCCTTACACACCATCTGAACACTCTCTGCCACCTTGTAGTAGATGTTTTCTGGTGGTTGCTCTGTAATCTCTGGAGGTCTGGATACTACAACATGTAGGGGAAAATTATTGGAACACAGGCCAAGAAAAATGGCAGGATACTAAAACACAGGCCAAGAGAAATTGCTGGATACTAAAACATGTAGGAGAAAATTATTGGAACACAGGCCAAAAGAAATGGCAGGATACTAAAACACAGGCCATGAGAAATATCCAAATATCCATAGTTAATGAATACAGAAGTTCTAAATCTGGAGAGTCAGGTGTGTCCCACATACATCAGGACATCTGTTTAGGTGGGGAAGGTGATTGTAAGAATTATTTAATTAACTTTATAAAAGGTGATTAGTTAGAAGAATATAATTACCTGAGATGACACTGGCCAGTAAACCAGCTAACAACCACACTAGTAATATCCCCATCTTTCAACGTTTTACATCTGAAATAATCAAGAAAAATGTATCAAACAACCACACTAATAATATCCCCATCTTTTAATGTTTTACTTCTGAAATAATCAAGAAAAATATATCAAACAACCCAAGAAAAAAAATTAATGTTCTATTGGTCCATAGTGATTAAAAGATTCCTCATTAGACTAATTACTAAACCATCCATTGGGCATATGAAGCAGATTTCATGTGTAATGGTTTCTAGATCCTCAACATGTGAAAGAATTATGTAGATCTAGTCAGCACCATGCCCAGCCACCTTAACTTTCCATAAGTCAGGTACCCATCATAGATGGGTGGACTAACTGTCTCCTACAGAAATCAGAACTTGACAAACAACATAGTCCCTCATATGAAGGAGTGGAACTGGGTTTTATTGGCTTTTTAAATCTAATTAATTAGTAATTAGGCCTAGGACTAATGAGTTCTAATTAGATTTAGTTAGACCCTAACAAGTTTAGATCCACTGTAGTAGAAATAGATCTAGGTACAAGTCGGCCTCTAATTTTTTTAGAAGACTTTTCAAAAAGAAAAAAAGATTCTTTACTTCCGCAAAAGTTAGAAGTGCTGGCTAGCTGGCACTTGCTCGGGTCCTAAAGCCAAAAATTGCCACGAACTTTTTGAAAACACCCAGTCAATATAAACACACGCGTCTGCGGATTAATCATGATTCAAAAACCCAACTAATTTTAGTAATACACAGGAACGTAAACATTGTCATTGTTGTCACTAATTTTGGGGACAAATCGCCATCTTCCCGGAAGAGAAGCTATAGCTGCAAATATTTCATTAGGTCCCAGTTTTAATTTCACAGGTAGAATTAGGTCTTATATAAAGTCTCCCAATGACTTGAAACAAAAATATCTCTTAAAAACTAACATGAATTACAATCAGTGGTAAACTGCATCGAATAACACTGGTATAATTAAAATATTACATAATTAGCCCTGTGCGGGCTAGAGAACACTACATACCTATTCCGCCATCACACGGCGTTTTCTAATGTAGGTCACCACGGGCAGGTAACTGTCCCATCGGCGACACCTGCGACACACCTGAGTTGTTTGAAAACCTGGATTCATTTCTTGGCGAAACAATACTATTTAATCAAACTCGAGGTTTTCAGCTTTAACTGAGTGACAGAGTAACTAAGGAGACCTTACACACTCACTACAGTCAGCAGATCACGGGCTTGTTGTGGTTGTTAAAATTAAAGTTTTCTTTTATGCTTTCAGACGATTGGCGGCACTCAGTGTTTCTTCTAGACTTTTTTTTCGCCGAGGGGGGGGGGGGGGGGCGGCTAAAATTTCCGGGAGGGGCGGACACTGATAAAGTATAAGCGCTCAATAAAATTTTTACATCGCTCGGTAGGTGGGACTGAACCCCCCCCCCCCCCAAAAGATGTCTGGAAGAAACTGGTGAAACTTCTAGTAGCATTAATCAACGCACACTTAATCATGGCTCTATATTCCCTTTTTTAACACCACACATTTCTCACCATTCAGGGTTTAGGAATTTGTGTTGTCTGAATGTTATTTCCTCTTGGCTTACTACTTTATTTCTACCCTCTAAATCTTTAAGAGCACCCCTTCCTCTGCCTTCCAATTTAACTGTCCATTTAAATGGCCCCGTTGAATGTATCTATTTATTTGAAGACTAGGAATTAGACTTCATGGGGTAGCAATCAAAGAACTGTCTGCCCTCAGGCTGAAGACGGCCATCAGATCTAATAAGAGGAGACAAACGGCACACACCACCTCTGATTCACGTCTATATTTTCATTTCCTTCATCGCCCTTAGATTTAGAGATACTAGTTTTTTTTTAATTTAATTGTTAGGAACTGTAATGTACCACAACCACTGTTACTTGTGTATGCAGGTTAAATTGGTTTGTGGTGACAATGAATTGTGTTAAATTCAACAGATGGATGTCCACACAAGTGCCGAACAGAACAAGATAAAACAACCTAATTTGGAACCATTTTATTTACACTAACAACAAGCAGCTTCAGATACTTTGAGCACGAGTCAATGGAACCAATTATTACTACCACACTGATGTGTTAAGTTTTGCCATTGTGATCTTTACACGATGGTGGATAGTTGATCTATGACATGGTAATCAGTGCTTAGTCGTTTTGTAAGTTGTTTGTGTTTTCAGTTGTGTGGAGCATAATTTGAGTAGCCAGCGTCCTCGTCATAATTTGAGTAGCCACCGTCCTTGTCATAAACAACCTGTCCATCAAAGTGGTCTCCGTGACCCCTGGTTCTAGATCTCACATGGGTGTCATAGGGACTGCATTCCGCTGCCCTGTCATATGGGTCTTCATCCATCTCCTGACCCCCGTAATGGTCAGTGTCCAGTTGTTCTGGACAGTGGTCAAGATTGTCCAAGTGTCCAGGGTAGTGATCTTCATACTCTTCCTGTCCTACAGCATCTTCTGTGCTTTTTTCTTGTTTGGCCATGTAGGTTGTACCTGTAAACAGTGGGGGTACAACCTGGCAACCCATATCAACCACAGTACAAGCTGGCAACCCATATCAACCACAGTACAACCTGGCAAACCATATCAACCACAGTACAACCTGGCAACCCATATCAACCACAGAACCACCTGGCAACCCATATCAACCACAGAACCACCTGGCAACCCATATCAACCACAGAACAACCTGGCAACCCATATCAACCACAGAACAACCTGGCAACCCATATCAACCACTGAACAACCGGCAAAACATAACCACAGAACAACCTGGCAACCCATATCAAACAGGCAACCTGGCAACCCATATCAACCACAGAACAACCGGCAAAACATAACCAAAGAACAACCTGGCAACCCATAACCACAGAACAACCTGGCAACCCATATCAACCACAGAACAACCTGGCAACCCATATCAACCACAGAACAACCTGGCAACCCATATCAACCACAGAACAACCTGGCAAACCATATCAACCACAGTACAACCTGGCAACCCATATCAACCACAGAACAACCGGCAAAACATAACCACAGAACAACCTGGCAACCTATCAAACAGTACAACTTGGCAACTCAGGTAATATTTTAATTTAAAAAAATCCTGACTTACTGGCATATGTGTCAGAGATAGGTTTTGGAGCAAGACGTACGCCACAATATGAGTATGAATCTTTGTGAGAAAACATGAAGCCTCTCTTCCAGCAGATGATGAGAATCAGAATGAGGCCAATGAGGGCCAGCACTGACACCATCATGCCAACAAACCAACTGATGCTGCCAGCTAAAGATGTAGCCATGGCTGTAGAAAAAATAATTGCTGTATGCCAACAAACCTACTGATGCTGCCAGATAAAGATGATGCCATGGCTGTAGAAAAAATAATTGCTGTATGCCAACAAACCAACTGATGCTGCCAGCTAAAGATGATGCCATGGCTGTAGAAAAAATAATTGCTGTATGCCAACAAACCAACTGATGCTGCCAGATAAAGATGATGCCATGGCTGTAGAAAAAATAATTGCTGTATGCCAACAAACCAACTGATGCTGCCAGATAAAGATGATGCCATGGCTGTAGAAAAAATAATTGCTGTATGCCAACAAACCTACTGATGCTGCCAGATAAAGATGATGCCATGGCTGTAGAAAAAATAATGGCTGTATGCCAACAAACCAACTGATGCTGCCAGCTTAAGATGATGCCATGGCTGTAGAAAAAATAATGGCTGTATGCCAACAAACCAACTGATGCTGCCAGATAAAGATGATGCCATGGCTGTAGAAAAAATAATTGCTGTATGCCAACAAACCAACTGATGCTGCCAGATAAAGATGATGCCATGGCTGTAGAAAAAATAATTGCTGTATGCCAACAAACCAACTGATGCTGCCAGCTTAAGATAATGCCATGGCTGTAGAAAAAATAATTGCTGTATGCCAACAAACCAACTGATGCTGCCAGATAAAGATGATGCCATGGCTGTAGAAAAAATAATTGCTGTATGCCAACAAACCAACTGATGCTGCCAGCTTAAGATGATGCCATGGCTGTAGAAAAAATAATTGCTGTATGCCAACAAACCAACTGATGCTGCCAGCTTAAGATGATGCCATGGCTGTAGAAAAAATAATTGCTGTATGCCAACAAACCAACTGATGCTGCCAGCTAAAGATGATGCCATGGCTGTAGAAAAAATAATTGCTGTATGCCAACAAACCAACTGATGCTGCCAGCTAAAGATGATGCCATGGCTGTAGAAAAAATAATTGCTGTATGCCAACAAACCAACTGATGCTGCCAGCTAAAGATGATGCCATGGCTGTAGAAAAAATAATTGCTGTATGCCAACAAACCAACTGATGCTGCCAGCTAAAGATGATGCCATGGCTGTAGAAAAAATAATTGCTGTATGCCAACAAACCAACTGATGCTGCCAGCTAAAGATGATGCCATGGCTGTAGAAAAAATAATTGCTGTATGCCAACAAACCAACTGATGCTGCCAGATAAAGATGATGCCATGGCTGTAGAAAAAATAATTGCTGTATGCCAACAAACCAACTGATGCTGCCAGCTAAAGATGATGCCATGGCTGTAGAAAAAATAATTGCTGTATGCCAACAAACCAACTGATGCTGCCAGATAAAGATGATGCCATGGCTGTAGAAAAAATAATTGCTGTATGCCAACAAACCAACTGATGCTGCCAGCTAAAGATGATGCCATGGCTGTAGAAAAAATAATTGCTGTATGCCAACAAACCAACTGATGCTGCCAGCTAAAGATGATGCCATGGCTGTAGAAAAAATAATTGCTGTATGCCAACAAACCAACTGATGCTGCCAGCTAAAGATGATGCCATGGCTGTAGAAAAAATAATTGCTGTATGCCAACAAACCAACTGATGCTGCCAGCTAAAGATGATGCCATGGCTGTAGAAAAAATAATTGCTGTATGCCAACAAACCAACTGATGCTGCCAGCTAAAGATGATGCCATGGCTGTAGAAAAAATAATTGCTGTATGCCAACAAACCAACTGATGCTGCCAGCTAAAGATGATGCCATGGCTGTAGAAAAAATAATTGCTGTATGCCAACAAACCAACTGATGCTGCCAGCTAAAGATGATGCCATGGCTGTAGAAAAAATAATTGCTGTATGCCAACAAACCAACTGATGCTGCCAGCTAAAGATGATGCCATGGCTGTAGAAAAAATAATTGCTGTATGCCAACAAACCAACTGATGCTGCCAGCTAAAGATGATGCCATGGCTGTAGAAAAAATAATTGCTGTATGCCAACAAACCAACTGATGCTGCCAGCTAAAGATGATGCCATGGCTGTAGAAAAAATAATTGCTGTATGCCAACAAACCAACTGATGCTGCCAGCTAAAGATGATGCCATGGCTGTAGAAAAAATAATTGCTGTATGCCAACAAACCAACTGATGCTGCCAGCTAAAGATGATGCCATGGCTGTAGAAAAAATAATTGCTGTATGCCAACAAACCAACTGATGCTGCCAGCTAAAGATGATGCCATGGCTGTAGAAAAAATAATTGCTGTATGCCAACAAACCAACTGATGCTGCCAGCTAAAGATGATGCCATGGCTGTAGAAAAAATAATTGCTGTATGCCAACAAACCAACTGATGCTGCCAGCTAAAGATGATGCCATGGCTGTAGAAAAAATAATTGCTGTATGCCAACAAACCAACTGATGCTGCCAGCTAAAGATGATGCCATGGCTGTAGAAAAAATAATTGCTGTATGCCAACAAACCAACTGATGCTGCCAGCTAAAGATGATGCCATGGCTGTAGAAAAAATAATTGCTGTATGCCAACAAACCAACTGATGCTGCCAGCTAAAGATGATGCCATGGCTGTAGAAAAAATAATTGCTGTATGCCAACAAACCAACTGATGCTGCCAGCTAAAGATGATGCCATGGCTGTAGAAAAAATAATTGCTGTATGCCAACAAACCAACTGATGCTGCCAGCTAAAGATGATGCCATGGCTGTAGAAAAAATAATTGCTGTATGCCAACAAACCAACTGATGCTGCCAGCTAAAGATGATGCCATGGCTGTAGAAAAAATAATTGCTGTATGCCAACAAACCAACTGATGCTGCCAGCTAAAGATGATGCCATGGCTGTAGAAAAAATAATTGCTGTATGCCAACAAACCAACTGATGCTGCCAGCTAAAGATGATGCCATGGCTGTAGAAAAAATAATTGCTGTATGCCAACAAACCAACTGATGCTGCCAGCTAAAGATGATGCCATGGCTGTAGAAAAAATAATTGCTGTATGCCAACAAACCAACTGATGCTGCCAGCTAAAGATGATGCCATGGCTGTAGAAAAAATAATTGCTGTATGCCAACAAACCAACTGATGCTGCCAGCTAAAGATGATGCCATGGCTGTAGAAAAAATAATTGCTGTATGCCAACAAACCAACTGATGCTGCCAGCTAAAGATGATGCCATGGCTGTAGAAAAAATAATTGCTGTATGCCAACAAACCAACTGATGCTGCCAGCTAAAGATGATGCCATGGCTGTAGAAAAAATAATTGCTGTATGCCAACAAACCAACTGATGCTGCCAGCTAAAGATGATGCCATGGCTGTAGAAAAAATAATTGCTGTATGCCAACAAACCAACTGATGCTGCCAGCTAAAGATGATGCCATGGCTGTAGAAAAAATAATTGCTGTATGCCAACAAACCAACTGATGCTGCCAGCTAAAGATGATGCCATGGCTGTAGAAAAAATAATTGCTGTATGCCAACAAACCAACTGATGCTGCCAGCTAAAGATGATGCCATGGCTGTAGAAAAAATAATTGCTGTATGCCAACAAACCAACTGATGCTGCCAGCTAAAGATGATGCCATGGCTGTAGAAAAAATAATTGCTGTATGCCAACAAACCAACTGATGCTGCCAGCTAAAGATGATGCCATGGCTGTAGAAAAAATAATTGCTGTATGCCAACAAACCAACTGATGCTGCCAGCTAAAGATGATGCCATGGCTGTAGAAAAAATAATTGCTGTATGCCAACAAACCAACTGATGCTGCCAGCTAAAGATGATGCCATGGCTGTAGAAAAAATAATTGCTGTATGCCAACAAACCAACTGATGCTGCCAGCTAAAGATGATGCCATGGCTGTAGAAAAAATAATTGCTGTATGCCAACAAACCAACTGATGCTGCCAGCTAAAGATGATGCCATGGCTGTAGAAAAAATAATTGCTGTATGCCAACAAACCAACTGATGCTGCCAGCTAAAGATGATGCCATGGCTGTAGAAAAAATAATTGCTGTATGCCAACAAACCAACTGATGCTGCCAGCTAAAGATGATGCCATGGCTGTAGAAAAAATAATTGCTGTATGCCAACAAACCAACTGATGCTGCCAGCTAAAGATGATGCCATGGCTGTAGAAAAAATAATTGCTGTATGCCAACAAACCAACTGATGCTGCCAGCTAAAGATGATGCCATGGCTGTAGAAAAAATAATTGCTGTATGCCAACAAACCAACTGATGCTGCCAGCTAAAGATGATGCCATGGCTGTAGAAAAAATAATTGCTGTATGCCAACAAACCAACTGATGCTGCCAGCTAAAGATGATGCCATGGCTGTAGAAAAAATAATTGCTGTATGCCAACAAACCAACTGATGCTGCCAGCTAAAGATGATGCCATGGCTGTAGAAAAAATAATTGCTGTATGCCAACAAACCAACTGATGCTGCCAGCTAAAGATGATGCCATGGCTGTAGAAAAAATAATTGCTGTATGCCAACAAACCAACTGATGCTGCCAGCTAAAGATGATGCCATGGCTGTAGAAAAAATAATTGCTGTATGCCAACAAACCAACTGATGCTGCCAGCTAAAGATGATGCCATGGCTGTAGAAAAAATAATTGCTGTATGCCAACAAACCAACTGATGCTGCCAGCTAAAGATGATGCCATGGCTGTAGAAAAAATAATTGCTGTATGCCAACAAACCAACTGATGCTGCCAGCTAAAGATGATGCCATGGCTGTAGAAAAAATAATTGCTGTATGCCAACAAACCAACTGATGCTGCCAGCTAAAGATGATGCCATGGCTGTAGAAAAAATAATTGCTGTATGCCAACAAACCAACTGATGCTGCCAGCTAAAGATGATGCCATGGCTGTAGAAAAAATAATTGCTGTATGCCAACAAACCAACTGATGCTGCCAGCTAAAGATGATGCCATGGCTGTAGAAAAAATAATTGCTGTATGCCAACAAACCA